TCTCAGCAGAGGCTTGCCCTGGAGTGTGCGCCCCCCCCCCCCCCCGCGCCCAGGCCAGCATGTGTCAGGGGGAGGCCCGGCCCCGGCTCACTCTCCTCCCCATGTGCCCCCCTCCCCAGGTGAGTCCCCCCCCACTGACCTCCTACCCAGTCACCCCGCTACTCCGGCCCTCCCAGCCAGCCGATCTCCTCCCCCACTTCCTCGTCCCCCCACCCCTTCCCCCAAGCCCCTCCCCCGGCTACTCACCCCGGCTGTGCGGAAGAGGCGGGGTGGGGGGGGGTCGCCCGGGGCCGAGCTCCCCGCTAGCAGCAGCGCCCGCCCCGCTCCCGGCTCCCCATGCCCGGCGGCACCTCCTCCTCCCCGGGCACATTCAGCGGGCGGCAGCCCCGGCCATGGCCCCCCCGGCTCCCCGGCCGAGCGGATGCCCCACGCAGGCTGCGGGGGCTCAGCCCGGCCCTGCAGCAGCCGCGGCGGCCCCGGCCCTAGCGCGCCCTCCGCCCGGGCGGCAGCAGCATTGGCAGGCGCTGGGGGGGGGCGGGGCTCAACCTACCCTGCTAGGCCGAGGCGGAGGCGGGGCTCGGGCGCCAATGGGCGGGCGAGGCCGCGAGCCGGCAGCCAATCGGCGCAGCCGGCACCTTTTTCACGCTGCTGTGCGCCGCGCGGGGCTGGCTACATTGTTGCAAGGCGGAGAGTGTCAGAGGATTCCAAGGGAGGGGGAGGGGCTCGGAGCGGGCAGCGCACAAAGGGGCCGTGGGGGCGGGGCTGCCTGCTCCTCCCTCCTCCAGCGATCCCCCTCCCCGCACCTGACTGCTCCCCCGCCTCCCAGGGGATCTCCCTCCCCGCACCTGCCTGCCTGCTCCCCCCCTCCCAGGGGATCCCCCTCCCCGCACCTGACTGCCTGCTCCCCCCCTCCCAGGGGATCTCCCTCCCCGCACCTACCTGACTGCTCCCCCCTCCCAGGGGATCCCCCTCCCCGCACCTGACTGCCTGTTCCCCACTCCCAGGGGATCCCCCTCCCCACACCTGACTGCCTGCTCCCCCCACTCCCAGGGGAATCTCCCCTACTCCCAGGGGATCCCCCTCCCCACACCTGACTGCCTGCTCCCCCCACTCCCAGGGGAATCTCCCCCCCTCCCTGCACCTGACTGCCTGCTCCCCCCCTCCCCCGAGGAGCTTCCTCCCCGCACCTGACTGCCTGATTCCCCCCACTCCCCAGGGATCTCCCTCCATATACATCTGCATGCTGCCTTCTTGCCCCGTCCCATCCCCTCAACATGCCTGTTGCCCCTCCCCATTTTTCTGTGTCCTCCATCTCCTAATAGAGTGCCGACTCCCCCACCTCAGGGTATCCCTCTTCCCCATGCCAGCCTCTTGTCACCTCCTAGGGGATCCTCCTAAAACCAATTTGCCTGCCCCCCTCTCCAAGGGATCTCCCCCCACTTCGGTCTCCCCTTAGAAAAGACACACACCCTTCTAACCAACTCTCCTGTGGGTGCGTCTTCCAGGCTCTGATTTGCAGATCTCTTTGCTGGGTCCTCCCCTCCCAGCACCCCTGCAAAAAGCAAGCCCCAAACACCCTGTATAACAGACACATGGTTTCATTCACCTTGCCAGGTAACAGTTCTCTGTGGCTCTAACAAGGTGGCCAGGAGAACTCCACTGATGGTTGTAAGTTACAGAGGGCTGGGACAAGTAACTTGTACTAAATGCCTGGGGCCCGATTCTGTAGTGCCCTGCACCATCTGCAGTCATTTACTCAATGGAGTACTGGTGGGAAATGCAACCATCCTACTCCAGTGTTTGACGCTCCCTTTGCCCTGCTGCAGAGGACCGGGTAAGAGGTAGGGCCTGGGGAAGTGTATGCTGACAACAGACAGGCAGGGTGAGGTACACTTTCCCGCAGGGATTGGACCCTCCTCTGAAGGTTTACTTCTTCCACTACTTAGCAGGGCTAATTCCACCTTTCGCACATGAGCCACCTCACCTTAGTGCCCAGAGACAGGTCAGCTGCACTTCGTCCAAGCGAGATCTCTCCCTGGAGCTGCCCACCATTGGGGAGGAGAAATTTAGTGCTCAGGAAAGTGAGGAACTGGTAGAAACTCTTCGGTAGCTGTAACCTGCGAGGTAGGGGACAAGTTTCAACCTGCAGAGGCCCTTTCCTCCTGACCCTACAGCACCCTGCAATTCCAGTGCTGCTTCCCACCCAGCTCCAGGTGCCTTTGTTCTTCCAGCCTTGGGCCTCTCCTGAGCACAGACTCTGGGGGCAGCCAGCATGGTTTCACCCACGCAGCAGGCCAATTCTGTACTAGTGGAAGCTGGTCCTACCCTAGCAATGGTTGCTAGGCAGCCCATAGCAGAAAGTGTGATTCTGCTCTGAAAAGCATCTGAAAGTCGAGTTCCAGGTTTGGGTCTCAGTCCCTCCAGATCCACGGTGCACAGCTGTCCTGGAAAGATTCTTTCGCTAACTGCCACCCCTGCAAACTCCCCCTGGGAGCTGAGAGTCAGGCTGGGTTCTTTCCTCCACGCTCATCATCACCAAGAGCAGAAATCCTGGCCTTAGTAACACCTGTGCAGCCCCCAGACCCTGGGTATAAACACAGAGGAATCATTTCATTTGCTGTGGAAATGCAACCACCTCTGGGTTGGAGCTTGGCCACTGCTTAACAGCACACAACCCATTCTGTGTAACGGTTTAGGGTAGGAAATGACCATTCTAGTATTAAATTGCTAATGCAGGGAGAATTCGGCAAGTGCAATGCATTTACCTGTTCTAGAATTTGGGCAGGCTTCTGCTTTAACACCCTGACCCTCCTAGGAAGTCCCACGGCAACTTCAGTTGTCATAAATGGCCAGAAATTTGTTTAAATCGCCTCCAAAAAGCCAATGGGCTGACTTATCTGTTGCCCTGCACCATGTGTAACTACTCACACCTGTGCGGAATCAATGTAAGACAGGGCCAGGTCAGAGGGGGATTTTTACACACGCTCTTTGCTTACACAACACAGGATAATGGAGAACCAACCCCAGCTTCTGGAGTAGCAGAGCGCCTTACACCTTACGGAAGGACGGCACAAAGCATCCCGTATGGGTTTTGGAACCTCTATAAACTAGTTGGCGTATTTAAGTCTGTAGCTGAGGCTCCGCTGGGTATCAGTATTCCAGGGATGCCCAGTTTGAAAATCATTTGCCTAGACCAGTGGTTTTCAACCTTCCCAGACGGCTGGACCCTTTCAGGAGTCTGATTGGTCTTGCGTACCCCAAGTTTGACCTCACTTAAAAACGACTTGCTTACGCAATCAGACATAAACATACAAAAGTCCCACAGACCCACTAGCACTGAAAAACTGCCGACGTTCTCATTTTCTCGGTATGAAATTTTCGTTGATACCGACTTCACTAAGGCTTTTTACGTAGCCTGTTGTAAAATTAGGCAAATATCTCGAGGCGTTGATGTACCCCTTGGAAGAAACGGAGGATTGGGGCCCCGTTGTGCTAGCTGCCATAGACACACACAGAAGAGAGTCGTTTGACTTCAGTGGGGCTGCTTACACGCTTCACCATACGTGCGTTTGTAGGACGAGGGCCTTGTATTGTAAATTCTTTGGGACAGGGACTGTCTTATGAAGGTCTTAATCCTGCAAAGATGCATGTCCTTCGTTTTAAGGCCACAACCCCCAAGTGGTCAAAGGCAAATGGGGGCGGGGTGGGGTATAAGGTATTGAACATTGAATTACAGTCTAGAGCAAGAAAATCTCGCTTTCCCACACTTTTTCCCCCTTCAAGGTCAAGTGTTCTCCAGCCGCCTCTTGAAACACACTCATATAGTACATAGGCTTACCACGGATATACTTTTTACTCTTACTTTTATAGTAAATGTTCAATCACAAAGGTCTTTCATTTCATTTTTCAAATAAGGGGTCATTAATCTGAAAAGGTTGAGAAACAGTGATCTAATCTGATCTGCAGAAAAGACACAGAATTTCACACATTTAAACCCATTAAGTACAAATTGGAGAGAGTCCAGCAGAGGGCAACGAAAAAGACCAGGGGGCTGGGGCACGTGGCTTACGGGGAGAGGCTGAGGGAACTGGCATTATTTAGTCTGCAGAAGAGAAGAGGGGGAGAATGGATAGCAGCCTTCAACTACCTGAAGGGGGGTTCCAAAGAAGATGAAGCTCGGCTGTTCTCAGTGGTGGCAGGTGACAGAACAAGGAGAAATGGTCTCAAGTTGCAGTGGGGAAGGTTTAGGTTGGATATTAGGAAACACTATTTCACTCGGAGGGTGGTGAAGCACTGGAATACATTACCTAGGGAGGTGGTGGAATCTCCACCCTGAGAGGTTTTTAAGGCCCAGCTTTACAAGGCCCTGGCTGGGATGATTTAGTTGGGGTTGGACTAGATGACCTCCTGAGGTCCCTTCCAACCCTAAACTTCTATGATTCTAAGTATATCCAAATCATTTCATAGACTCATAGAATATCAGGATTGGAAGGGACCTCAGGAGGTCATCTAGTCCAACCCCCTGCTCAAAGCAGGACCAATCCCCAATTTTTGCCCCAGATCCCTAAATAGCCCCCTTAAGGATTGAACTCACAACCCTGGGTTTAGCAGGCCAATGCTCAAGCCACTGAGCTATCCCTCCCCCTCATTGTCTGTCCAGAACCCACTCTGAATGCTATTGTAAAACAAACAGTAACAGCTAATTATTAAGTTGAACAAAGTCGCAACAGGGGAAAAACAACCTCTTACACAGGGGTTTTTCCCTAAAGTTTTATTTTTTTTTAATAGTAATGACATGAGAACAGAAACATTATTTTTTACTTCATTATACGAACCCAACCCCTCCCCAAAAAACAACCCCAAAAAACCCTCCACAGTTTTAAGTTCTGTCCAGGCTTGATTTCTAAGTCCACTGAGCGATACAAATTGAAACTGGGTTTTGTTTGTTTTCATTTTTTGAAACCTACAAAAACACTCTTTAAATATTAGAAAAAAAATGGTTTTGTTTTTTTTTTTTTGTGTTTTTTGTTTTTGTAATTCACAAGAATGACCGTCTAAAGTATCACTGGTTTCTGTGGCAGTGCAAAAATGCACTCAGCTTCAATTCTCTTACAGTACAAACCACTTTTTCCTCCCCTGTAACTTAAAAAAAAAACAAAAAAAAAACCTGTCAGTACTGTAAGAATTCTTCTTTTTTTTTAAACAGAAAAAAAATTTTTTTTGTAATTTTTTTTTTTTGTACTAAAAAACACATCCACTAAAATACAACAGCGCTGGGTACAATCAGCAAAATGAAATCGGTTTCCCCGCTGGGGGAAAAAGAAAACAAAAACAAACAAAAAGGATCAAGTGGGGGAGGAGGGTAGGGAAACAGGGACAAGGACAGACAGACGGATACAAAACAGCAGGCAGGAGGTGTGGGGGAAGAGACATCATGGGCTGGTTACATCAGAACACGCCCAGGGGAGAGGGGAGGAGGGGGCAGGAAGAGGGGGTGAAGAACCATACATTTTCATCAGCACTTGAGTCCCTTTGCTAGATCTACAAGGATTGTCTGTTACTCTTTGGGGAGGGCATCCTGTGAGCAGGCTGAATGACACACCCCAGCAAGGACGCCCCTCCAAGATATCTCCCTTACCCTACTCAAGTCAATCGCATGGCTTCTCCTTGGGACTTGGAAGCCCCAGGACAGTTTCAGCTCAGATGGGGAAGCCCACTGCAATTTGTGGAGTCGCAACCGGCTAGAAATGGGAATCTTTAAATCCCAGCAACCCTCTGGCTCCAATTCAGAAAAGCATCTGCTTAAATCCCATTGAAATTAAACCTGTGCTTTCCTGAATTGGAGCCGATGAGAAAATTCAAACAAGGAACCTGGGCAGGGACTGGAGAACTACTCAGTTCAAACACACCCTAGCATTGTAAAAAGGAAGCGTTAAATATACTGGGCCCGATCCTGCAGTCCATACCTGGGCTCGATCTTGCTGTGAGCATAGTCTGTGTTGAATGCCTAGCAGGAAGGGGGGGGGGCTTCTTTTGGGCGCAGACCCACCTAGGGTGGCCACGTGCCCCCTTCCTATGCCATGACTCAGTTGATCATACCCATGCTGGGTGTTTTGTCCCCATTTCCATATAAAGCCCCGCACAGGAGAGATCTGATTCGACACAAACAACCCACGGCAGCTGCCCTCTCTTGGAAGGACGTGGGGGGCGGTTAGGTCTGGCGTCCCCAGCACAGCATCTCCACCCTGACCCGTTGTGGAGTCCAAATCCTAGAGCCCAGGATATTTGAGAGCCTCTTGGGGGACAAGAGGGGGACAGACAGGCCTAAAGTCAACCAAGAGGGGGCTCAGCCCACCTCCAAGCTCACCTGGGAGAGGCGGGGGGCTGCAATGGAAAGTGGGGGGAATGAGTCATGTGAGTACAACCCAAGGAGCAGCAACCCCAACCAGCCCCCCCAAATCTGCTCCAACTCTCCCCCCAGCGACTAGACACCCCTCCCAACACGCGCTGCTAAAATCCGTACCCCCTGCCTGCCACGATCCCCCCCCCCAGCTGGAAGCTTCACCCCCTGAGGCTGCCCTTAATTTTCTCTACAAAAAACAAACAAAATCACATTTGTTCTCGCCCCCCCCGATTCAGACTATGACCAGAGGAGAAGGGACTACCTAATACTCTGACGGGACTTGGCTGTGCCAAATACAAAACACGGAGGGGCTGCCTAAATCCTTGAAACATACAAACAGGAAAGGAAGCGAAAAAGCCCAGAATTCCTGTTCCAAGCCTCCCTGCTTTCCGCGCTCACCGGAGCTTCGGGAGCAGGTGGTCCGTCAGCTCTGGGATGGGGGAGAGCGTGCCCTTGGCGAGGGAAAAAAAAACTCCAGCAACATGCTGACCCGCTGCTTGGATCCATTACTGCTCAATACTGTCACTGTTGCCCCACCCGGCGCTGGGGAGAGGAAGTGGTAAAGAGAGTTGTTCGGTGAGGAGAGGAGGGAAGAGAGGGTGGCCAGGCTTTTAAGGTGTGTGTGTGTGGGGGGGGGCATAATGGGGACCCAGTTTTGTTCTCAAGTGTTTCTTAGTAAGTTAGGCTCCCCAGTCTACATCGGGTGGGGGGGGGGGGGAGGCACAGAATTCAGCGAGATGAGAGATGAACTGCTGGTGCTGTGAATGCTTAAAGGGGGAAGGGGAGACGGAGGGGGGAGTCTAGTCCCAGAAACACTGTCCTTGCGTTCACCCCTGTGGCTCCCACTGGCCGTTAACAAAACCCTGGCAGGAACAAAATCCCAGACACTGAGCCACCTCCAATCAGTGGTGGATTTTGCACGTGTGGGTGGGCAGCAGATGGCCAGGACGCCTGCTGCCCAACTTTATCCACCCTCGTGGCGAGGGGAAAGGGTTTAAAAAAAAAAAAAAAAAAAAAAGACCCCAACATTATTTAAACACTGGATTTTTCTTTCCCAGTCTCAGTCACTTTCTACTCCCATGCTCTCTGGGTGAAAATGCCCCAGCCTAGCCCAGCCCAAAGGAAAGGTGCAAGGAACTGGGACCCACTGACGCGGGGGGGCAAGGTCACTCTCTGCTCTGCAACAGCCAGTGACCCAGAGAACGGAGGCGGAAGGCAGCAAGGCCTTTTCGCTGACACATGCATGGACGGGTTATTTACAGAACCACTTACACACCCGTTCAAAACCCTCCTAAGAAAAGGACGGGAATGAAATGCTAGTCACAGCTCTCCACCGGAAAAGGAGTATTGATACCAGTCTATATATTAATATATAGCCCGTTATATACGAATACAGATATATGCGTAGCTGAGAGTCCTCTCCGAGAAGGAGCAGCTGCCTGGGAGTTCAGATCTCAGCCACTTGGGTGTACGGATGGGTTTTTTGGATCAAGTTTCCCCAATGTTCCTTTAAACAAAATAAAAATAAAAAAGTCTGAGCAATCTCATCGGAGCTGGTAGCCACACTGCAGCTGAACAGATTGCGCAGGTGGGCCCCGGAGTTGTGAGACTGGCGGGCGTGGCCCCACCTCTATCCCAAGCAGCCGGCATCCAGCATGGGAGGCACAGCTGGGTTCCTTTGGCAAGCACCATCCTGCCCCTATTCCAGACAGGCCCCCCCCCAACAATCTGCACATTGACCTGACACGATGACGGAGCGGAGGGGGGGGAGGGGGTGCGTGATGCCAAGCCGGGCGGCTAGCCAGAGACGGAGATTTTGATTATAAAAAGATGGATCTTTCTCGCTTTATAAAAGAAAACAAAAATAATAATACAAGAGCACGACAACCACCGATGACACAGATGATCTCTCCTCGCAGCCGAACCCTGCTCCCATCCCCGGCCCCATCCCAGTCGACAAATGCCCCGTTCCAGTACAACAATTGGTCACTTCATTGTAAAAAAAAAAAAAAAATTCAAATCTGGGATCCACCTGCCACCGCCTTTGCCCAAATGCTGGTTGAATACGACGGATCAACCACGTTTCCTTCGGGTGATGCAATGATCAGCAACCAGTGGTATGCTCCGTATCAGCCCCCTAACTCCCCCACCCAGTGCCAGCCCTTCCCGCCCCGAAACTGGGCAATGTCTTTTTAAACTCCCCCCACCCCACCCTGCCCCAAACACACACACACAAAAAATTCTCCCCCTGTCCCCAGAGGGAAATGCCGCGTGGTAAGTTCATTCCAGGAGCTCTTAAGTGCAGTGGGATTTTGCTCTCCAGGAGCTCTGGGTGCAGCTTCAGACTGTACAAGACCGTCCCCTCCTCCAGCTGGAGAGGCAAAGGGGGAGATCGTCCCGACGGCTGAGTCCTGAGCCACTCGACTCGCATGCCGCCAGAACAACACTCTGCGCCTCTTGCCACATTTTTGTCGCTGTTTTAAAAAGGATTTTTGTGGGGGTTTTGTATAAAGTCTGGAGGGGGTAGCTGGAAGTTGAAGGGGAAGGCGGGGGCAGCTGCGGGGGCTCTGAGGTGTAAAAATCCCCCTCCCTCTCCAAAAAACAAAAATAAACTAAAGGCTTGAACGCAAACTCTATGGGGAAAAACAACACAGAATATCCCCTTCTTCCCCCCCACAAAACAAAGCCTTTTATCAGCTGCCCCCCCCCACTCCATTAGTGTGAAATTCTTTAAGAGGGAGGGGGAAAAAAAATTAGCCACAGTGATTTTCCCATCCCCCTCCCTGCAACTATCAACCCAGATCTCCAGCCGGGATATTACTGGTCGGGGTGGGGGGGATGGGGGGATGGGGGGATTACTGAAAGTCCGGCAAGAAGGTGGCGCTGTGGGCATTTCAGTTGGAGTCCGAGTCGGAGGAATCGCCTGAGGAAGAGGAGGAGCTGCTGCTGCCCTCGGAGTCATTGTCATCTTCCTCTTCGTCGTCGTCCTCTTCATCGTCGTCGTCCTCATTCTGGGGCCAAAGGCAAGGAAAGGGTTAAGAGCCTGGGGGGGGGGCTGGGGAATTGCAGGGTCTGCCTGTGCTGGGGATGCAGGTGCTGGGATGGTTCCGTCTGGTACCTTTGCTCATAAAGTCCCACCCAAAAGAAGGCAACCCTAACAGTACAGCAGCCTTGGTCCATCGAGCCAGGGCTTGCATGCAGCAGCCTTGCTCCGCTCAGCCTGCGGGAGCTGGTGGCAAAGCAGGAGGAGGGATGGCCGTTTGCGGCACTGGTCTGCTGTCCTGCCGTGGGTCACCCATTAGAAGCTGCTTTGAAGCCGCTGACTGAAGCCAGATCCACACAGACACCTGGCCCACGAAGTCGAAAGGATAAATAAGATTTCATGGCAAGCAGGCTGCCTGTTATTTGGAAGTGGGGACTGGAAAACCCACGCTGCAAGAGTCAGTTTAGGTCTCTGAGCTGTCAAAGGGTGGGAGGGAGCGTGGTTAAGAATCGTGGACAGGGAGCACGGGCCCCTGGGGTCCAAACCCAGCCCTGGCACCATTGACCAGATTCTGACTTCACGGCCGCTGGTGTAAATCCAGAGTAACTCCATTGACTTACTCCGTGTTTACACCGGTGGGACGGAAATCAGAATCAGACCAGCTCTCTTCAGCAGAAGACACAGTTAAGACATTGTAAATGGTATCTGGGGAGAGAACACCGCAGCCATGCCCAGGGGCAAGTGTGGGTCGGGGTGGTGGAAGCAACGGCCATAGCCCTGGCCCTAGGCTTGCCCCAAACTCTGCGTCCTTGGGGTGTAGCCCCCGGCGCTGCAGATGCCAGCTGTGTTACACAATCAGGTCAAACCCCGAGGCCAGATCCCCAGCCACTGTGAACTGGCGCACCTCTTCTGACCCCAGGGCAGCTACGTCAAGGCACTGGCAGGGGAGTGAGCCCGCAGCGTTTAGGTCCCACGTTTATGGGCGACACCGTCTCTTGAAGACTCGTGGATTACTGGGCCCAGGGCTCTGGGATCCTTGGACCAACTGAGATTACTGCCCCCAGGGCTGGCTGGGTTAACAGAATCAGAAGGGCAAACTGGGGTGGCAGCGAGGGGTGGGGGGTCAGCGAGAGGCATGGCACAGACACAGCATCCCACCGCGCGCCTCACCTCATCCCCATCCTCGCTCTCCTCCTCGCTGCTCGACTCCGATGAGTCCCCGCCTTCCTCGGACGAGTCCCCGTTGTCGTCGTCGTCATCATCGTCATCCTCTTCCTCCTCGTCATCATCGTCGTCATCCTCCTCCTCGGACTCCTGGGGGTCAGATGGGGCGTGGTGGGTGGATCTGGCTAGGCCTCGTGCCCCCCCCTAGAATCCCCACGATGGCCAAGTCCCAGGCCAAGGAAAAGCAGGGCCTTCAGCTAATGGGTTAGGGCCCTCAGTGCAATAGACCCAGGGATTACCCAGTGCCTCATGGGATCTGTAGTTCAGATGCCACGTGTTACCATTCTCCACTCTGGGCCAGGCTCAGCTCCCCAGCTGGACTACATCTCCCATGATGGATGGCCTCCCTGTGCCGAGAGTACAATGGTGCATCATGGGAGATGTAGTCCTACCAGCGAGTAGGCGGCACCTGGACACCATTTCCCAGACAGCACCATGGTGGCATTTCTAAAAATGTTTTGGTTTTTTGCTCTTGTTCTCCAAGCAACCCTTGCACTGACCCCTCCTCACGGCCCGTTCCACCAGAGAGCTGCCCCTCCAGGTGGCAGGAACACACCAGGGAGTTGCGGGGCCCAGGGCGGAGTCATGCTACTGGCCCAATATGGGGCGGACGGAGGACGAGGGCACTTACCGACTTGATCTGCATGGCGGGCTTCATTTTCGGGTTCGGCCCCCGGACCTTCCCCATGCTCTTGCGCTTCTGCGGAGGAGGGGGGGAAGAGGAAGAGTCAACGGGGCAACTCTGGAGGCTCCTCAGTCCCTTCCAGGAGGTCAGAGGTTAAAGAGCCCATGACCATCACCACCATCCACAGAAAGGCCTTGAGTGGGGGACGGATGCTCAAAGCCACCTGGTTATTTCTATTCCCAGCTCTGCCACTGTCCTCCTGGTTGACCTTGACAAGTTGCTTCCCCTTCTGTGAACTCCATTTCCTCTCCCTCCCTTGGTTCCCCCGTGTCTATTTAGCCTGGAAGATCTGTGGGCCGGGAGTCTCTCTTACAAGGCATATAGACAGCACCTAGCACAACGAGGCTCCAAGCTGGGTTCAGGCCTCATGGCACTACTGGAACATAACCAATTAGGACTTTGTCCCTTCAAACGAAGGCTTTTTAAACCGTCATCGAGGACGGCTCACACACCCCCTCTCCCCCGTCGCAAGGGATACTCACATTTGAGGTGTGCTCTTTGTAGGCAGCTCGCTCCTGCGGCGACAGGCTCTGCCGAGAAATGAGACTAAAGTAACCACCCAGAGGAAGGCGAGGGGGACAGAGCTACACGACTGCAGGGGCGTTCCCAGCTCCAGGAAGGGGAGTTGTGCCGGAGAGGGGGTGTGGGTGGAAAGCGAAGCCCGCTGTGCCGTCAGGAGTGCAACAACACTGCCCCTCTGTCCAGAGGGGCAATTTCCTTAGCCTCCTGTGCTTGGAAAGCACGACAGGGAGTTGGGGGAACAGAGTCACAGCTGGATCTGGAGCCGTGGCCACTCTGAAATCTCTCTCGGGCTCCCGTGCTGGGAGAGGGGAAGCGACCTTGACCCCAGGGACAACATCTGTCATAGCCACAGACACACGCCCTATGGCATGAAAGTTGGGGGGGGAACGGGGGTGGTCTGGGTGCTCCATGTACAGAGAGACACTAAATCAGGGACACTTGAACCCTCATTTCCCAGCAGCGAGGGGTGAAGAAAGCCCCAAGGCACTTGGGAACGGAGAGGGGGAAGGGTCAGTGGGGGACAACAGGGATGGGGTACCCCGAAAGCAGGAGGACTGGACAACCCAGGGAAGGGGGGTGGAGACGGGAAACCGTGCGTAGAGTCAGAGCAGTTCCGCCCCCCCCAGCCGCTCACCTTGAGCCAGATTTCCAGGTGCATCTTGTACTGCTTCTGCTGCTCTTCGGCCATCTTCTTGTAATAGTCCTTCTGGCCCTGGGAGATGCGCTGCCAGCGGCTGCCGATCTCCACCATCCTCTCCTTCAGCGGTAGGTGGTTGAGCTCGCCGTTCGACAGCAGCTCCTGGGAGAACTTCTGGTAACCGTTCCTGGGGAGCGGGAGAGCAGGGTCAGAGAGCGGCCAGCCCCCCACCCGGCGGGGGCCGTCCCCAGCACAGCCAGGAGCAGCCAGGCAGGAAAGCCAGAGTCAGGAACAGGACCACGCCCAGAGTTAGGAATGGAACCCAGAAGTCCTGCCCCTGATCCTTTTATTCTGATCACTGTACCCCACACTCGTCTCCCAGAGCCAGAAACAGAACCCAGGGATCCTGACCCCCTGTCCCTCTCCTCCGACCACCAGACCCCACTCAAGCCAGAAACAGAACCCAGGGATCCTGACCCCCTGTCCCTCTCCTCCGACCACCAGACCCCACTCCTCACCCAAGCCAGAAACAGAACCCAGGGATCCTGACCCCCTGTCCCTCTCCTCCGACCACCAGACCCCACTCCCCACCCAAGCCAGAAACAGAACCCAGGGATCCTGACCCCTGTCCCTCTCCTCCGACCACCAGACCCACTCCCCACCCAAGCCAGAAACAGAACCCAGGGATCCTGACCCCCTGTCCCTCTCCTCCGACCACCAGACCCCACTCCCCACCCAAGCCAGAAACAGAACCCAGGGATCCTGACCCCCTGTCCCTCTCCTCAGCCCCGAGCCAGAAACAGAACCCAGGGATCCTGACCCCCCTGTCCCTCTCCTCCGACCACCAGACCCCACTCCCAGCCCTGAGCCAGAAACAGAACCCAGGGATCCTGACCCCCTGTCCCTCTCCTCCTACCACCAGACCCCACTCTCCACCCAAGCCAGAAACAGAACCCAGGGATCCTGACCACTGGACCCCACATTCCCCTCTCAGACCCAGGAACAGAACCCAAGAGTCCTGATCCCCCAATCGCTCCTCTCTGATCATTGGACCCCACAATCCTCTCCTAGAGCCAGGAACAGAACCCAAAGATCCTGAACCCTTGTCCCTCTTCTCCGACCACCAGGAATGGAACCCAGGAGTCCTTCCGCTCTAATCACCAGAATCTACCCACTCCCAAAGGCGGGAATAGGACCCAGGTGTCCCAACTCCTCTTCCTCTGCCCTAGCCATGAGCCCACACTCTCCCCCGAGATCCAGGAATAGAGCTCAGGACTCCCTGCCCTACCCTGCTCTAACTATTAGACAATACTTCCCAATCAGTTACCAGGCACTTGACTTTGCCCCACAGTGAGCTATGAGCCCCTGGCAGGGTCGAGCTCAGTCCCCTTCTAGCTGCCAGAGCCCCAGCTTTGCCCCCCTGGGCTGGTCTCTCATGCAGTGGCTGGACGACTGGCCTGTTGTCTGGAAGATGCCCCCCCCAGAGGGACCAATACTCACATGGGGGGTTTCTTCGGCTCTCCCTGGAATTTCATCTTCTTTGAGGAGTTTGCAGAGCACGGGGGGGCCCGCATCTCACTCAGCTCTCTCTGGAGGGGGGACAGAGACGGACGAGGTGAGGCCAATCACCGGCTCAGCATACGCCTCTCCCCCACCCCCCACCCCCAACCTCAGATGTGAAAACTTTCAGGCAACAAAGTGGTGGGTGGATCCAGCCACTGGGGCGATCCCCTGCCCGAGATACAGGGACGCAGGCTATCAGAGGTGGAGTGATAGCCCCAGAGGAACCCCACAGCCCTGCCCGCAGAACAGAGTCTCTGACCCCAGAGAGCGCGGGGACCCACCTCGAATCGCTTCTGATCCTCCGCCGCCTTCTTTATCCACATCAGCTTCTCCTTCTTCTCCATGTTGTTCCAAGTGGCCTCCATGGCCTTCAGCGCCTTACCCCGGTCGTTCTGCGGCACAGGGAGACCCGGCAACGCTCAGGTTACGCGTTGCGGCGAACGCACCCGACTCCGGGGTTCTACCCTCGACTGTGCCACCGAGCGTGGGCAAGTCATGTCCTCCCCCCCCGACCTGGTAATATTTACCCCTCCCTCCCCCGGCGAGGGCAGGTGACTCAGGCAACGGATATGCCCCGAGACAGAGCCAGCAATCAGGGACTGTCCCCGTTCCGTCTCCAGCAGGGAGTGTGGAGGGTGGGTGGTCCTTGCCTCCTCTCTCTAACCCCCCCCCCCCCAGCTCCTCACCTTGAAGCGAGCCAGGTAGTCTCCGATGACGCTCTGCTGCCAGATCTCCTCGGCCGTCTTGGGCGACTCGGGCAGCTTGGCACGCTCCTCCTTGTCCGAGCCGTGTTTCTTCTCCGACTGCGCCTTCATGGCTGCCTCCCGGGCCTTGTACTTGGCCTGAGCAGACACACAGAAGGGTGGAGTTTAAGGCCCAGGTCTCTCCAATGCAGTCCCCCGGCCCGGCTCCACTCGGCAAACGCCTGCCGTCCTAGCTATGAAATAACCTGGGTACGTGTGAGCTGGGCCCCCCTCATGTACTCCCATCCTCACCCCACCGAGATGAGAGGGGGAGCAGTGTCTGGGCTATTAGATCTGTGTGGGGCTCCCCGGGGAGGGTTGCACTCCAGCTCCATCAGTTCCCAGCGCTGTTTGGGCAGCAGAGAGACGGCACCTGCAGCAGCCTACTTGGAACTGGCAGTGGAGGGTGTTTTAAGCATGGGGGCCGGGGAGAAAGGGCGTCACACAGATCAATAGGTCACTGCCCCTTTTCTCCTCGCCCCATCGCTGTGCCAGGTGCCAGAACTCATGCCCCCAAGGCACATGTCCACACACCCTCCCCAGACAGTCTGCATAGAGCAGTGGTCCCCGAACTTTTTACCACTCCCCGGAGCTGGGGCCGAGAGCGGAGCCACGGCCCCAGGAGCGGGGGACAGACATGGGTAAGGGGGCCGAGGATGGGGCCGCAGCTGGGGATGGGCATGGGGCTGGCAGCTGGGGCCCCGGGTGTGGCCTGGAAGCTGGGGTCAGCAGCAGAGGTGGGTGTTATCCCTCCCCCCAGCTCTGCCTCCCGCCAGAATGTTCCTCTACGCCCACCTAGGGGGCACACCGCACAGTTTGGGGACCTCTGGCATAGAGAAAATCAAGCCCACCCTCAATAACTCCCCGACCCACACCCACACCCAAAAACCTTCCAGCCAAAGCATAACTTCCGACACACTCACCCTCAGCCATGAGCTAAACCCCCTGGGGCCGGATGGACCACGACTCTCCCCCTCCCCCCGCCAGGCTTTTAAATCCAGGCTCAAGACCTCTCCGGGTTTAATCCCGGCAAGTTCTAATCTCTTTGAGCTGCTCGTTTAGTTCTGGGGTCTCGTTCCATACAGCGGGTCCTGGGCTGCATGGACTCAAAGGCGCTCCCAAGAGATGCGAGGACCCCACTGCCGAGGAGGGGGGCAGCCGCCAGGACCCATTCGTTTGTGCCACGCTCCAGCACCAGCCACCGGAGCCTTGATTGTCCCGACGGAGAAAATCACGACAGCCTACGGCCAGGCAGGGAGTGACCAGGGACTGAACTGCTGGCGCCCCCTAGAGGGGATGGACACTACCGGCACTCCAGAGAGGCAAATCAGCTAGAGGTGCCGTTTTGTAAAACAAGGGGTCTAACGAGCGTGTCATTGATTTAACAACCTTTTTCTTCTCTGAAAGGTCGTTCCACATCCGCGCCAGCAGCCGGGTCAGTTCGCTCTCGGAAAGCTCGGGTCGCTCTTCCTGCAGCTGCTTTCGCTTCTCCTCCGAGAAGATAAACATAGCAGAAATGGGCCGTTTGGGTTTCTCAGAACCTGCCTGTTGAAGAGCACAAAGGGTCTTGGTGTGGGGTTGAGTTAAAAAATATATAAATATATAATATGGGAAAAAAAATCCCGCAGCAGCTTCCAATAGTAAAAAAAACCCCGGAATTTCTTTATGTTCTTTATTTTATGGGTTTAATTTTTCCCTGCTGGCTCAGCAGCTACCATCCAGAAGTCTTGAAGCTGGTTTAGAAGTAACTGGCTCTGTCCCTCTACTCTCACGACACACACACGCACCCCCTGCGCCGAAGCCAGCCCCTCACCTTGCCAGTGTCTGGCGATGACTTTTTGGAAGCTGGGCTGGTGGCGCCTTTCTTGTTCGCTCCCAGCATCTTCTCTTCCCCCAGCACCCTCTGCTGTTCCTCCTCGGGCAGGCTCTGCATTGCAAGCAAAGGCGGGTGGGTCAGAGAGCGCCACAGAGGGGTGAGTGAGTTTTAAAAGGAGGAACAATCCAACGAAAAGGGACTGGAGTAACAACAACGCTGCTACTTTCATCTCACTAACGCCTTTGAAGATCTCAAACCACATGGGCCTCGGATTCTCCTGCTCCAGAATCTGCCTGCTAGAGAATCTCCATTAGCTGTATTGGGCCTATGACACAGTGCGGGATTTCCAGTCATATCCACTAGAGGGCAGTGGTGCACATATGCACTAACCAATTCCTCACAGTAAAATGTATATGCCCATTTTAGAGCTGGGGAAACAGAGGTACAGAGAGGAAGTGACTTGTCCAAGGACACCCGGCGAATCTGTGGCACAGACACGAACAGATCCCAGGAGTCCTGACTCCCGGGCCTGTGATTTAGCCACTAGACAATGCTTCCCTTTTATGACTCCAGGGATAGAGGGGAAAAGGACCACCCCCACCTGAAATGTTTGGTGCTATAGGTACTACTTTCCAAATGCATTGGCACCAGGTTTTAAACTAGCGCGTGTGCCCAGAGATTGGTTAAAACACCAGAAGACAAAATGGACCCATCCTGAGACAGCTAAGCACAGTGCTTCGGGGTGCTGGGCTCTCCCACAGCATGGACAGATACCAGCTCCAACCGGAGCCAGTCCCTGTCCCACCTACTCAGACGAAGAGGGACCTTCTCTCCTCCCTCCTCCTTCCCTGGAGAGAAGAAACTTTATTCTGGGGGAAGCGGGTGGGGAAACAGACTTGTCGGGTTTTCCACCCTTGGTTTTTGCAAACAAAATCATCGCGCCCACCCAGACACAACACGGGGGCTAGCAGCTCCCAGATGTTTTGGAAAAAGTAGCTCCCGGGTCAAAACAAGGCCCTGCCCTGCCCGTCCCCCCGCCACCAGGTGAATGAAGGCCAAGTCCCCACATGCTGTGAAGATGGTGGAAGCATGGCAGGGGGGGAGGAAGGGGGAGGGGATCACACACACACACCCCGCTGGATTCTCTGTCCGCTCACACCCATTTACATCGGAGCAGCTCCTCTGACTCCGCTAATGCTCCTGTATGCAGGAGACGGAGCTTTCTCCGGAGCTGATCAGAGACCGGGGAATGAACGGCCATCTCTAGCAGCCTGGGTAAATTCACCGGAACAAAACCCTACCAAAACAAACCCCCTGCTGCCCACACCATCCTCCCCCCCGGGGAGAAGACGGGAGAGAGAATGAACCATTAATCAAGCTGCTTAATGCATGACTAGAAGGGGCTGGGATAAGACCCAATATAAAAAGGAACAGACTTCTGATTTACATCCGCCCCGGCGAACGGAGACTGCCGGAGCTACACCTGGGAAATGCAGGGATACCACCGTGCCTGCCTCTTTAGCCCGCACGGCAGAGAAAGACAGGACCTGGCGCACACAAAGCGCTCCCCCCACCCCACCCCACCGGTGCAACACAATCAGTTGCCCACGCAAAACAAAACCGACGAGCCATGTAATGAAATGCCAAGGGAAGGCTGGCTGGGCCCCCCCCCCCCCTCACAGAATGAGCTGGGCCACCGGGCGCACCCACCTCCAGGAAGCGAAGGAGTTCGATTTCGTAATCTTTCTTTCTCTGGTGGAAAAAGCAGCAGGAGGAGAGAGAGAGAGAGAGAGACGGTTACTAAGAGACGTCACCTCCATCCCCACGCGCCAATCGAACACCCAGCAAAATCACAGGGGATCTGTGCCCTAGTGTCGGAGACAGCGCAGCTCAACTGCTGGCGAGAGAGACGATTCCCTGGGCCCGAGTCTCTGGCCCCGAGCTTGCCCACAGTCCGTGCTCGGGGCTTCTAATTCCATCTCCCCGCTCGAGGGTCTCTAAGCACGTCACAGCCTCTAATCACCCCTTGCTTAATCGGAGGCTCAGAGAAGGCACGTGACTCGCCCAGCGTCGTGGGCAGAACCCAGGCGTCCGGCTTCTCTCCTGGTGCTTGTTTCTCCAGCCACACTCCATTCAAGAGGGCAGCGCCCACAGCCGGTGGGGCTCAAACCCAGATCGATGATTTAACGCGGCCACTCGAACTGCCAATACAGCCGTAGAAACCAGCCGTTTCTACCTGTTCTCCCCCCCTCCTCCAAACTCAGCTCCACCGAGGTGCGGGCCCCCGGCCTGTTCACCTGATCACACTTTTTGTGGTACGCGTCCTTCTCCTTCTGCGAAAGCAGCTTCCACTGCTGGCTGCACAGCACCATCCGCTCCGTGCTGGGGACGTCCTTCATGTTGGCCATCAGCTCCGCACAGTACAGAGAGTAGCTGTTCCTGCGAAGCGACAGTTGCCGTGGGGCGCTAGGAGTCGCCACTCCTTCCCCGCCCCCCCCTTTTTCAGATGAGGGTCCTGCCCACACACGGCCATTGACAATTCCCCAGTGGTGTTCCCTCTGGGGAACAACTTGGGGGGATTCCAGCCTGCTTCCTCAGGGTCACCTCCTGTCCCAGCCTCCCCGGCAACATTGCTGTGCGCTGGTCAACAGCTGCCGTGCTCAACTCCAGAGCAGGCCGCAGTTCAGTGATGAAGCAAAAGAGAAGGGAAGCAATTTCTGGGTATAATCTGGCCTCCAAAAACTGGAGCTTGTCAACCTATTTGGGACTGCTGGATGCTGCGAAGTGTCACTGAAGGCCAAATTACGGGCCCATGCCCAGGAGTCGCATGATTGCCCAGAACCTGAGGCTACGTCTACACTACAGGCCCTACACCCAGCTGTGCCATTATAGCGCAGACGCGTCCTACTTGATTTTCCGCCCACCGCAGTTAATCCACCTCCCCGATCAGCGGCAGCTAGGTTGACGGAAGTTCTTTTGTACACCTAGCTGCATCTACGCCGGGGGTCAGGTCGACCTAACTAGGGCGCCCAGGGGTGAGATTTTTTCCACACCCCCGAGGGACAGTGAGGTCTATCTAAATGTTAAGTACAGAGCAAGGCTGAGCTCTCGTTTAAAAAAATAAAACAGAAAGTAAAACAGCCTGAATCTGCAGAGAGCCTGGAACGATAGCTCAGAGGAGCTCAATGGGGTGTTAACTCCACGACTCACCGCCCTGGAGCACCCTGCCAGTGCCCAACCAGCAGAGGACTCTGCAGGTAGCCTGATCGTCCCCCCAAGCAGATATGCCCAGCTGCTGGAGTGAGGAAGGGCCCAGTGGGGCCAAGCCATGGAGGGTGGGGCCGTGAGTACGAAGCTAGGAGGGTTGTACCTACGGCCCAGATTGTCTTTTGCCGGTTCTGCTTTCCCTGGACCCACAAGGGGGAAGGAATAGAAAGCCTCAAATCTCCCCCTTCCCCAAGAAAAAGCAGCGTCAGCCCCACCCTCGAATTGCAAGGGACTTACGGAGGCGGCTTGGTGGGTCGCCCGTCGAACTTGTCCTTGAGCTGGCGTTCTGCCTTGGTGAGGGTGGAGCGCGTGACGCCCTCCTCGAGGTTCATCTCTGGGTGCTTCTGGATGTAATCCCGCATGATCTCCTGCGGACGGCAAAGCAGCCGGCGGGTTAAGGGGGCCGAGCCGACGCCCGCCAGCACAGGGAGGGGAGGAGGAGAGAAGCCAGTCACCTCCCTATGCCTCGCCCACCTATCCTCCCTTTCGAGAGGCGATGGATCCCAAGCTCTACAGTGGAAGGCTCTGAGCTACCTGGGCTGTGGGCTAGCCCCACAATGAGTGGAAGGAGGGGGGCCTGCATCCCTCAACAACAACCCCTCAGGCTGATTACAGAGAGGGGCTGGCCGGCTCCCGGAACGCCCCTCGGCTGGTGGCCGGGAGGTAGCGCCCGTCGGGCCGGGGAGAAGATGGAGGGGAACTGGTGACTGTTCCCTACCTCGTACTCCTTTCGCTGTTCCAGGGCCTTATGAATCCATTTCAGCCTCTTTTTGTCGGAGAGTTGAGACCACTGCTTGCCCAGCGCGTCCTTCACCTCCTTCGTGGTGGCCTGAAAACCCAAAGCCAGAGGTGAGGGCACAGGGGGGGAAATGCGGGCCCCGCCCGCCCTCTCTCCCGCCTGGGATGGCAGGGCAGCGAGCCGAGCTCGCGGGGACGTGGGAGGGGAGTCGCCTTTGCGCTGGGGATCTCACTGCTCTGGGTTGTGCAACGGGGCTTGGCACCTCTCTGGGAAACACAGCGATCCTGGGCTTGCTCACTGCACCATCCTGCCCCTATGCGCTGCGTCCCTTCCCTAGCCGGAGTGAAATCAGTGCTCTGCCCCTCTCTCTCAGGCACCGGGTCTGCTCCCAGACACACGGCACCCCTTCCTTACCTCTGTCCGGACAGCACAGGACTTCTGCTTGGTGCCTCTTCCTTCAGGCCCCCTCCCATCCCTGGCTTCTCTCCCCCTCCTCCCATAGTGTAAAGACACACACACACACACACAGAGACACCACATCTCTACGAGGAACTCACATCTGGGCGCACTTTCAGGTAGATTTTCTTCTCGTGATTGTACCACAGCTGCTGGGGGGTCTTGGGTTTCTCAGGGACGTCCGACTTCTTAGCGTTCTGAATAAGATCTGGGTGGTCTTCCCTGCACGCAGCGGGGACAAGAAGGGGGGGGGGGAGCGTCAGAGGCAGCGAAAGGAAGAGACAGACTCTGATCAACCGGGTCCCACCCTGGAACATCTCGGCCCAGAACCTAAGAGGGCCACACCAAGGCCTAGAACCTCAAAAAGGTATTTAGGCTCCTAACGTCCATTGATTTTAATGAAAGTCAGCAGCCTAAATGCCTTTGAGGATCATGGCCCTAGTGGCTTAGGAAAAGGCTCAAGAAGAGAGTCAGGGGATCACAGGAATTGGAGCTAGAAGAGATCGAGTCCATGCTGAAGTGGGGGGCCAAAGCAGGATCCCTTTAATGTATTTAAGGACCTCATCAACTGGGCCCCCATCATTCTCTTGATGGGAGATAGACCCACAGGTGGTTCCCCAATGTCTGCCCCAATGTCTGCACTCTAGGGCTGCTTTGTCAGAGAAAGAGCCTTCTACTGACCCGCCTGCCCCAGCCCGGGTCCCCAGGACTCCCAGCTTGAGCGCCAAGGAAACCATTCCGATTCAGCCTTCCTTTCCTTTTGTTAACCCCCTGTTTTGTGCTGTTCCTCCTCGTTGTCCCCCCCCACAAAGGGCTCCTCCCTCTGTGGGTGTTACCCGGAAATGCTCATCATCCCCGATTAGTTAGGACGAACACAGCTAGAGATCGCCTCGGGGCCAGTCGGTGTCTTACCTGAATCTTGCCAGGTTCCGCTCAAACTCCTGCTTCTCCCGCTGGAAGTCCTGGATGTATTTCATCTGGGAGGGACAAAGGAGACGGGGCGTTAACAGGGGCGGGGAGCCAGCGGAGTCCTCTGTACAGCTGCCCAGCAAAGGAAGGGGAGTCCCATGTGCTGGGAGGCTGGTGCCCAGTCATCTCGGCCAGCCCTGCAAATGAAGTGTTTGACCCCTGCAAAGTGCTGAGCACCATGGCTTCTACAGGGGTCCATAGGAGTTCAGGGCTCGCAGGACCTGCAGAATCGGATCCAGAAACGGCAGCTAGGGGCTGAGATTTTCCAAGCTGCCTAAGGGGGGTTAGATGCACAAATCCTATTCATCCTATGGGGCACCGAACGCCCTGGGAAGCGACAGAAAGATCCCAACCTGGCCATTGTCTACAGCAAAGCAGACCGCGGCCTGGTTTCAGGCCACAAGGCCCTGGCACCAGGTAGTCGGAGGGGACGTTTATAGCTGTCCCACGTCACATCGATACGCAGGTTAGCGCCGAGGCGTCTGCGGGGACAGGTTAGGGCTTGAACATAAAGCGAATGGCGCATGCAGCTGCCACCCCAATGGAACATCTGACCCAGCCGGGTGGGTGACCGCTGGGTCATGGCACGGGATGGATTGAGCCAGGGCTGACCTCTTGGGTGGAGCCAACATTTCACGTGAAGATCTTAAACTGTCACAGCAACGGGTCAGTTCCTAACCTCTTCCGACTGCAGGGCAAACCTTCCCCGGGGACCTAGAGCAGGGCAGTGTCACTGAGTCCCCAGAGGGGCAGCCTGGACCCAGAGCTCTGGCCGAGGAGTGCCGGGCGCACATTTATCCCTGAAGCCTAATGAGGATCAATTAACGTTGTAACCGTTTTACTGCCGACCATTTCAGTGGAAAAATTAGGGGGTGGAGCTTGGATACCACCCATCTCCTCACCATACACCCTCCCCCCGGCACTGCACAGATCCCAAATTCTAGGAAATACCGAGTGCTTGGGGGGAAAGGAAGGGAATCTTAAGAGCACAAAAGGTTTAAACATATAATACCACCTAACTCTTTTTATAGTACTGTTCGTTCAACGATCTCAAAGCGCTTTACAAAGGAGGTCAGTGTCATTATCCCCATTGTACAGACGGGGGAAACCGAGGCACAGAGCAGTGACGTGACTTGCCCAATGTGATCCAGCAGGCCAGCGGCTGAGCCAGGAATAGAACCCACGGCTCCCGTGTCTCAGCCCAGTATTCGATCCAGCAGGTCACACTGCCTCCCTGAACATGCCCTGTCCTAAGGACTTGTGGCCCACCTGAACCCTAATCCTGCGTGGGCAGACTCCAGAGCCTGTCCAGGCCCCCTCCCTGCCCCAAAACTGACTACAGGGGGATCTGGCTGCATGGAGCACAGGATCAGCTCCTAAGTCGAGTGCATGCGTGCAAGAGAGAGAAGCTCCCAAATCCCACATTCTGTAGCTTCACGTACCTTTTTCTTTTCGGGGAGCTCCTTGTATTTCTTGGACAGGATTTTGGTCAGATCCAGGTTGCTCATTTCAGGGTGCAGCTTGGCATATTTGGCTCGCTTCTCCATGAAGAAGCGGAAGTAGGGTGTCAGGGGCTTCTTGGGGAAATCGGGGTGTTTCTGAGGGAGAGAGGACAATTAAAAAAATACATCCCTATGCACACCATGTGCCTGTAAGGGGACGGATGGCCCAGTGGTTCGGGCACCAGCTTGGGACTTGGGAGACCCGGTTCAGTTCCCAGCTCTGCCACAAACCCCTTATGAGACCTTGGGCAAGTCACTTAGTCTGTCTGTGCTTCGGTTCCCCATCTGTGACGAGGGAGAGGGGAGAATAGCACTGCCCTGCCTCACGGGGGTTGTGAGGATGCACACACAGCAGGCTGTGAGGTGCTCCGTGCTATGGTAATGGGACCCATACGAGTACCTAAGACGGATAAATAACAATCCTTCAGATTTATCAAGGCCACAAGGGGCTCCCCTAGGCTCTCCAAAACCATTTACACACACTAATTAGGCCTCACGGCCCCTCTCGTGAGGTGGGTACTATTGTCATTTTAAGATGGGGAAAAGGAAACTAAGGCACAAAATGGGGAAGTGATTTGACGCACGCTGAGAGTCAATTAGAACCCGGGAGTCTTGACTCCCATTTTGTGTTGTAGCCACTAGACCACATTGCCTCCCAGAGCCAATTCGCAGCCCTCTGCTCTAAACTTAGACACAGGTTATCAACACCACACCCATGCCTGTTGTACGTAGTTCACATGGTCACCATATGTGGCTATTGCCCAGCTTTCCACCTCCAACGGGCTTTATAAACTTTAGCTAACTAATCCTCCACGCCCTGGGAAGCACGTCAGTGTTATCATCTGTCAGAATGAAGCAAAATTTTCCCCACAGAGTTAGCCCTGGAATGGCCCAGTAGATCAGCTAGTCTATTTCCCTGCCAGAGAATATCACATACGGGAGACTTGATATGTGATGCATTTTACTGGACTCCAGTACAGAAGACAACTCCCGCTCCTCCAAACGATGGTTAAGGCAATTCTGCTGCCCCCTGCTGAGATCCCCCAGCCTGGACAGGGTGGAAGACGAGACCCCATTTGTTGGCCCCGTCCTGATTACCTACCTTGAGCTTTTTGCCCTTGTAAGGATTCTTTACATGTTCCTCAGCATCCATGATCAGTTCTGTCAGCGTTCGGAATTTCCTCACCTACAAGAATAAGCAGGGATCAGTTCCGACGACAGATCAAACAGCGCCACGGTGATAATAGATCGACAGATCACAAGCCGTGAGGGGCGGGGGGGGGGGAGGTCGCAACGTTGCGATTTGTACAGCGCCGAATGCTTTGATGCTAAACCCTACAACCCTCGACACTTCAATAATAATGCTGTGGCTCATGGTTTGAGCCCTCCCGCAAGCATCCCTGGGAGACAGGTCAGTGTCATCCCCCCTCTGCAGAGGGGCATAGGGCAAAGAGTGGGGGAAGGGACTTGCCCACAGCGAGCCACTGGCTGAGCCAGAGCTGGGGGAGAAAGTTAACACAAATTATTGAAAAACCCAAGTCTTGAGGCCGGGTAATCAGACTTTGGTTGTTTAGGTAGGTGAGGAAGGGGACTCGGGATTCCTGGCTCCCACGCCCCTGTTCAGCCCACTCACTCCCCTGTGCTACACAAAGCCCTGACCCTATAGCATGAGCTTCAGGAGAGAGTCCACGGTCGTCACGTCAAACGCGTGGAGGTTACCTCGGTGGAGATCTCCATCCACTTCATCTTGCACATCTCGCCAGAGAAGTCCTTGAAGGCCACTTTGTCCCAATCCAGATGGGACTCGGTGGTTTTGAATTTGCTGCCGTCGTTGGAGGGCAGGTTGCCTTTCATGCTCTCCAGCAGGGTCAGCATGTCCTCCTGGGACCAACAGTCTGAGCAAGGAAGAAAACAAATGATCGAAACTGTATCGCAGCCAGCTGGCCCTCCCTGAGGCTGGAGGACACACAGCTCTGCATGGAAGCTTTTTACTGAGCTCCAGCCCTTTAACCCAACACAGCCACAAGCAGGATAGCACCCCAGCACCCAGACTTGACCAGCTGCTGCTTGCAACCAGCCTCCCCTTTAGAACAGCAGCCCAGCATGCAGAGACTACAGATCCCAGCAGGCAATTCTCCACTGTAATGCAGACAGACTGGACTGGGTGATTAGGGTGATCACCAGCGATATTTCCATCCTCTTCTAAAGGCCAAAACTTCCCAGCTCAGGCCAAAATTTCACTCGGCATGAGCCAGAGGGTTTTTTTTTGGTTTTAAAGCCACAGCAGACAAGCTGGTAGCTATTGCTATGCAAGGGCTGAGGGCTGTTTCTTTGACGCAATAAGGCAAGACTTTACCTGATGGCCTCTTGCAAGAATGTTCTCTTTCTAAGGGATGTTTTTAGCTCTCTCTGCACAGCAGGCTGGCAAACCTGGGAAGCCTCCCCCAAATTAAAAAGGGAGGCCTAGGGGCACTGGAAAGCCATGGCTACAGCACTTCCAGAGGCTCGGAAGAGCTCAGTTTATGCCATACTAGAGCTTAGCAGAGGTCCACAGTCGTGGTCCCCCAGTGCAGGGAGCCCCTATGGCTGGAGCAGAGCCAGCTGCACAGGAGGACGGGGTGCAGGGGCAGTTCTAGAGGAGCATCGGGACCATGGCACTCTCACAACCCGGCTACTCTGCACCCCGGCAAAGCTCCACGGGACACCAGTTAGAGCAACCGGAACCTGCCCTTGCAGCCTTCTGAATAGGGGAGGCACAAACTGGCTCCCCTCTGCCCCTTGGACAGAGATAAATTCCACTCCCCCGCTAAGACTGTCTAAGGGCCAGCCCCGTTGCTCTGTGTTACTGCACTGCCAGGCAGATGCTCAGCAGCAGCCGGCTGGCGTAGGGGGGCAATCACCAAACCTGCATGCTGCCCGCTGGAAGAAGCGGGAAGCTCCCAGGGAGGGAGGCGAAGGGGGCAGCTGAGAGGCCGGACAGAATGCACAGCTAGGAGCTTGGAAGGTTTGTTTCTAATGCTCCCACAGCACCTCGGCTGACAGAAGTCAGAGCCAAAGGGGAAAAGGACCCATGTAATGCAGGTCCCTGGGGAATGGCTCTGGGGCACCGAGATCCCACTACTTATGGGTTTTCTTCCTGACATTCAGCCCACGTTTTCCTTTGCTCAGTTTTATCCCATCCCCCCGCCCTTGAACCAACCCAAGCAATTCCCCCATCCCCTCCCCAGGCCCTTAAAAGAGGCCTGCAAATACTGACTTGAAAAATCTAAGCATTACAGAGTGATCCCAGCTGAGCGCCCCAGAGAGCAGGGGGTGAGGGAGACATCAACGCTCAGGGGCTACAATGCACAGCCTCAGCAGATGAAGAGCTGCTCTGCGTGCAGTGGGGAGCAGACCTCCAACACCCCCCCCCCCCACAATATAACAGGGGCCTCGGTTATCCACATCTGCAGAGAGCAGTGTGTTGCAGGCTAACCCGTGCGCTCTGAAGCCACTGCTTTAAGAGTGGCCGTTTCCATTCTAACTCCCGCTTTCGTGAGCGCTGGCCCTTGACGCGGGTAAATGGACTGCATAACCCACATGCGATTCACAAGAAGGCAGGCTTGGATTCAGAGCTCAAAGTGAGGACGTACATGAATGAAAACTGGGAGAGAGTGCACCCTGGAGAAGCAGACAGTTAAACATCATTCTCTTCCTTGGTTGTTTCTCTCAGCAATCAACACACGCACAGAACTACTGGGTTATGTGGGAGATCTGACCACATGATCAGAAATGGTCCCCTTGAATCTATGGAGAGATCTCTGAAGCTGGCTGAAGAGATCTCTGAGCCATTAGCAATTGTCTTTGAGACCTCATGAAGGACAGGAGAGATCCTAGAGGGCAAATATAGCACCTAGCTATAAAAAGGGGAATAAGGACAACCCAGGGAATTACAGACCAGTCAGCTTAATTTTGGTACCCAAAAGATAATGGAGCAAATAATCAAACGATCAGTTTGTAAACACCTAGAAGATAACAAGGCGGTAAGTAAGAGTCAACATGGATTTGTCAAGAACAAATCATGTCAAACCAACCTAATACCCTTCTTTGACAGGGTAACAGTCCTTGAGGCTCGGGGGGGAAGCGGTAGACCTGATACAACTTAACTTTAGTAAGGCTTCTGATACTGTCTCACACAACCTTCTCATGAGCAAACTAAGGAAATACAGCCTGTACGAACCATCTCTAAGGGGGTGCACAATCGGTTGGGAAAACTGTACTCAGAGAGTAATCATCAATGATTCACAGTCAAACTGGAAGGGAATATCAAGTAGGGTCCCACAAGGATCTGTCCTGGGTCCGTACTATTCAATATCTTCATAAATCATGTGGATAATGGCATAGAGAGCACACTTATAAACTTAATGGACAATACTAAGTTAGGAGGAGTTACAAGCACTTCAGAGGACAGGATTAGAATTCAAAATTATCTTGACAAGCTGGAGAAATGATCTGAAATAAACAGGAAGAAATTCAATAAGGACAAATGCAAAGTACTTCAAGTAGGAAGGAATAATCACTGGCACAGATACAAAATGGGAAATTACTTCCTAGGAAGGAGTACTGCAGGACAGGATCTGGGGGGAAGGGGGGTTATAGCGGATCACAAACTAAATGAGAGTCAACAGTGTTATACTGTGGCAAAAAAAGCAAACATCATTCTCAGATGTATTAGCAGGAGTGTTGTAAGCAAGACACAAGATAATTCTTCCACTCTGTTAAGGCCTCAGCTGGGATATTGTGTCCACTTCTGGGCATCGTACTTTGGGAAAGATGTGGACAAATTGGAGAAAATCCAGAGGCAACAAAAATGACAGAAGGTCTAGAAAACAGGACCTATGAGGAAAGGCTGAAAAAACAGGGTTTGTTTACTCTGGAAAAGGGAAGACAGAGAGGGGGCACAATAAAAATCTTTAAGAGCGCAAAAGGTTGCTATAAAGAGGAGGGTGATAAATTGTTCTTCTTAACCACTGAGGACAGGACAAGCAGCAATGGGCTTAAATTGCAGCAAGGGAGATTTATAAGTTAGGAAGTTTTTCCTAAGGTCTAATTGTCAGGATGGTTAAGCATTGGAACAAATTACCTAGGGAGATTGCAGAATCTCTGTCATTGGAGGTTTTTAAGAACAAATTAGACAAGCCCCCGCCAGGGATGGTCCAGATCAGCTGTTCTCAACTAGGGGTCCGAGGCCCCCCGGGGGGGCTGTGAGCAGGTTTTAGGGGGGGCCACCCAGGAGGGCCAGCATTAGACTCATTGGGGCCCAGGGCAGAAAGCCAAGGCCCTGCTTGTCCCAAGCCCCACCACCTGGGGCTGAAGCTGAAGCCTGAGCAACTTAGCTTTGTGGGGCCCTCTGTGGTGTGGGGGCCCCAGCCAATTGCCCTGCTTGCTGCCCCCTAACGCCGGCCCTGGTTTTTATAGGCAGAAAACCAGTTGCTGTGGCCTAGGGGGGCTGTGGAGTTTTTATAGGGAAGAAAACGATAATTAAATATCTATCTCTACAGTAAAGTTAAACAGACTAAATGCAACAAGTAAACGGAAGTTTCTGGGACATCACAGCTACTGGAAATCTTATGGAAGTCCCACTTTGTCCACAAAGTTGCATTCCTGGGCATGCCCAGCAAATCCTGGAGGAGTCTGGATTTTCACAAAGGGTGCAAGTAAAGATATGAAAACAAGCACACGGGTTTTTGGTATTTCTCTGCCAAGTCTTCTATGTTGTTTCTATATTCTAAGATTTGTACTTCAGGTCTGACTCAAAGCCTGTGGGGAAGCTGCCTACTGATTTCAGTGAAAGCTTGATCAGACCCTCAATTCAAAACCACTTTCCACTATGCAGCTCACCTTTCGAAGGCTTTTGATTTTAAGTGAAGGGTTGCAGAATTTTTACCCTCAACATGGGATAAAACTGAGGTTTGCAAAGCCCTGTATGGGATAAGGACACCTAATTCCCATGAACATTAAAGGGAATTAAAAGTTCAGATCTCCTGAGATTTTCAGAGCTGGCCATCCTAAACATTGGCTGTTAACAATCTGATCTCGTCAGCATTTGAAAAATTAACAGCTGTGAACTTTGCCTACCATTTTAATCAATTACATGTTAAAATATATTGGTTAGACTCCATATTCCAGATCAAGGTAACATTTACATTCATGTACTGCTTTCAATCTGCACCCATCAGCGTCAAGAGTTTTACGCAAAGAGCCAACCACGGTCCTTAATATCACACAGCAGACGTTAACAGGACAATAGTGAGGCCTAAGCCGACCTCACGTGTACCTCTTGCATCTGGCTTCCGGGGTGCACCGTAATGGATTTCCCTGCTCCATTCTTGGGAACGGCCAGTTGATGGAAACTACAGAAATCCTGCGCTCCTCTCAACCACCCAACACCAGTCTTTGTGTAAATGCACGCAATTCCACTGAAATCAATGCACCTGATTCTACTAGGGCATTGAAATAAACTTACCTGATTATACCAGGGCATATTTGGTTCAGAAAGCAGGATCTTTGTACGTCCCCAAGTCCCTGCACGCCCCTTAGATTTGTTGCTGCAGAATCTCCCCTCAAAGCACTCCCCAGTTAGCCTCCATTCACCTCCATTTTGGTGGCAGACCGACGGGGAGAAGGGCTGTGTGTGTGTATGTGATTTTAAGGTTGGCTAAATTCTGTGTCTGTCCAACCTTGACAATTTCCCTTTCACAGCCGCACTACACCTGTTATAGTTAATCAAACGAGCTACCCGACAGACCCGCATGGCTCATTAATATGCATTTTGTGTTGCTATGTCATCAGATCCACCACCCCAGAGCAAACTGGGCCTTATATCAGACGCTTCGACGGAATGCAGCGGCCAACTAAGCAATGATGTACATGGGCTGCCGTGGATGGGTGGGTGTGTGTGCTTTGCAGGGAGAATTTCTGCAGCTCCCTACATGTGATGATCCACACCCTGAAGCATGGGATCTGATCTTCCATGACTCTATCTTAGCTTGCACAGCTACATCTTCTGGGCTCTGATTTGGCAGCCTTCTAGTCCCCAGGATTCACAGGGAGCCTTGGGTATTTGTGCAAGGAATGGATGGGAGTCGGCTCTTTCATCATTCGTGGTGAGGGTGGGTCCAGTATTGGTCTTTATGTTTTTCCAAGGGCTTTTTAAAGCGCTTCAAGGCAGCCATTTTCAGGGCAAAATTAACACAGGGAGCCTGATTCTGACCGTATCAGTGAGAATTATTATTATTTATTTGCGGTATCGTAGCGCCCAGGAGCGCTAGTCCTGGCCCAGGCTCACACTGTGCTAAGGGCGATCCAAACACACCTTTTTCTACTCGGATTTGTACGTGTGTGGGGCTAAAACCACTTTTTAAAAAAAAAAAAAACACCCCAAACTGAAAATTGGATTACCTAGGAGCTGGGGGCCTCTACGTGGAGACTTGAGTCAATCCAGCCCCAATGTGAACAGCTGCAACTCCAGCAAAGTCAATGAAGCTGCACTCGATCATGTCAGGTATGGATCGGATCCCGTATGTTTTGTTCGAACGTTACAATCATGACACCCAACCAATCAAAGTTGGCCTCGATTTTGAATTTCCTGACTGGCATCCATAAACTAGTCAGCCAGGCCCCTTTCTACATCCACAACTGCACGGAGTGGGGCTGGAGCATCAGCCTTAACTCTGTCAGTTTTAGTGGCCCCTTTAAAGGTTAAATAATTGTATTGAGCGGCCCCAGGAAAGGACTAGCAGAAAGCATGGTCTGAAGGTCAACTCCATGTACGGATTCTGGATTTGCTCTAACTGCTAGGTACATTTTATTACATCACAATGAAGGCACCTTTCTAATTTTTAAACGCTGTTAGAAAGACTCATACAAGTACTTAACTACACACACACATGTAAGTAGTCTCATTGGGATTACTCATAGGCTTAGATCTTTGCAGGATTTTGGGGGGTGGGTACACACAGAAGATCTCAAAGCACAGATCCCATCCAGAGGGGGAAAGCCTGGGCAACAGGGCTGCTCTCACCTTGATTCTTGGGAGCTGTCATTTCCAAGTCTGTAGGGCAATCGGCTTCTCCGTTCATTCTCCACCTGTCTGACCCTAGGGCGATCCCTTTTTGGGTCTCTCCTGCTGCCTCTCAATCTACCTTAAATCAACCAAGCTTCACTCTAAAATCAAATGGAAACCAGAGCTATAAACTCCGCTTGCAGAAAACTTGTCCTCCCTGGTCTCCGGACCATCCCAACGGTGGAGCTGAAACCTCTTCTCCGAATTAAAAAGGGACCCTTTCCCCAATCACAACAAGAGCCAGGAGAACTCAGCTATCTGCACCCCGGAAAAATTGCATCGTGTTGCCAAAAGACTGGGTAGGTTAGGGATGGGGCAAGGCGTCCAAGGGCCCTGCTTTCCTCCAGCTGAGGGAAGCATGGAGGAGTGGGACTCTGAAGGTCTAGCCATGCCCCCACCCTCCAGCAGACTCCTCCCAACCTTGTCTCTATGCACAATGCAGAGGACCCCACCCTGAACTCCTGTCCTCTTCCTCCTCTCCCCTGTGGGAAGGGGGACCCAGAGGAAGGCCAACCCCAGAGACAGGGGGAAATAATGGGAGCCCGGCCCCTTTTCATAGACCCATAAGTCAGAGAGCCCGGAAACTCCTCCCAACAAATGGGGAGGGGGTGCTGGGCAGGGGCATGGGAAACATCCTCAGGTATGGGGGTCAGAAGGATGGGGGATCTGAGATCGAGGGAGGGGGCTGGGCTGTGATGAGGCAGCAGAAGGACCCCCAGGCAAGGGGAGGAAGACGGCTGGTATTGGGGGGGGGCGGGAGCAGAAAGACCTCCAGGGGCCAGAATGGAGGGGGAGAGGGCTGAGCTGAGGGAGAGGGAAACATAAACACAGACAGGCAGGGGGAGGGGGAAACCAGGATCACGTGGGGGGGGCAGAGAGATCCCCAGGAGGAGGGGGAGGAGCAGCAGGCTGGTATGGGGGGGGGGAAGCAAAGGGATCCCCAGGCAGAAGGAGGAGCAAGCTAGGATGGCAGAGGGAGAGACAGAGGGATCCCCAGACTGGAGAGGAGGAGCTGGACTGGGATCATGGGGAGGGAGGGATGGGGGGGGAAGGAAGGAGGGATCCCCAGACAGAGGAGGAGGAGAAGAGCAGGATGGGGGAGGGTAAAGGGAATCTCAAGCAGGAGAGTTGGGGCTGGGTCGGGATCATGGTGGAGGAACCAGAGGGCTCCTCAGGCAGGAGAGGGGCAGGACAAGAGGAGAGGGAAATCCTCAGGGGCAGAGGGAGGTGCATGGAGGGAAGGGCGGACCAGGATGGGGGGAGAGATCCCCAGGTGGGAGGAGGAGCAGGCCAGGATGTGGGGGGGAAGACCTCCGGGGCAGAGGGAGGAGCAGGCCCAGATGGCGCGGGGGGGGGCACAGAGGCTGGGATCGTGGGGGGGAGGCTCATCCTGGGACAGAAGGAGGGGCAGATCCCTGGAGAGGGGGAGGGGCAGGCTGGGATGGGGGGCAGATCCCCAGGCACAGGGAGGGGCAGATCCCCGGGCGGGGGGAGGAGCAGCCCGGGGTTGGCGGGGGTGAGGGGGTAGATCCCCGGGCAGGGAGAGGAGCAGCCCGAGATTGGAGGGGCAGATCCCTGGGATGGGGAGAGGGGGGAACAGGCCGGATTGGGGTGGGGGGCAGATCCTCAGGGTGGTGGGGGGGGAGGAGCAGGCCGGGATGGGGGGGGCAGATCCCCGGGATGGCGGGGGGAGGAGTAGGCAGGGATGGAGGAGGGCAGATCCCCGGGATGGCAGGGGGGAGGAGCAGGCCGGGATGGAGGAGGGCAGATCCCCGGGATGGCGGGGGGGAGGGAGGAGCAGGCCGAGATGGGGGGCAGATCCCCGGGGTGGCGGGGGGGGAGGAGCAGGCCGGGGTGGGGAGGGGCAGATCCCCGGGGTGGCGGGGGGGGAGGAGCAGGCCGGGAGGGGAGAGGAGCAGATCCCCGAGATGGCGGGGGGAGGGAGGAGCAGGCCGGGATGGGGGGGCAGATCCCCGGGGTGGCGGGGGGGGGAGCAGGCCGGGATGGGGGGGGGAGGAGATGCCCGGGGTGGCGGGGGGGAGGGGGAGGAGCAGGCCAGGATGGGGGGGGCAGATCCCCGGGATGGCGGGGGGGGAGGAGCAGGCCGGGATGGGGGGGGCAGATCCCCGGGGTGGCGGGGGGGAGGAGCAGGCCGGGATGGGGGGGGGGCAGATTCCCGGGGTGGCGGGGGGAGGAGCAGGCCGGGATGGGGGGGGGGCAGATTCCCAGGGTGGCGGGGGGGAGGAGCAGGCCGGGATGGGGGGGCAGATCCCCAGGGTGGCGGGGGGGAGGAGCAGGCCGGGATGGGGGGGGCAGATCCCCGGGATGGCGGGGGGGAGGAGCAGGCCGGGATGGGGGGGGCAGATCCCCGGGATGGGGGGGGAGGAGCAGGCCGGGATGGAGGAGGGCAGATCCCCAGGATGGCGGGGGGGAGGAGCAGGCCGGGATGGAGGAGGGCAGATCCCCGGGATGGCGGGGGGGAGGAGCAGGCCGGGATGGGGGAGGCAGATCCCCGGGATGGCGGGGGGGAGGAGCAGGCCGGGATGGGGGGGGCAGATCCCCGGGATGGCGGGGGGGAGGAGCAGGCCGGGATGGAGGAGGGCAGATCCCCAGGATGGCGGGGGGGAGGAGCAGGCCGCGATGGGGGGGGGAGATCCCCGGGGTGGCGGGGGGGGAGGAGCAGGCCGCGATGGGGGGGGGAGATCCCCGGGGTGGCGGGGGGGGGAGGAGCAGGCCGCGATGGGGGGGGGCAGATCCCCGGGGTGGCGGGGGGAGGAGCAGGCCGCGATGGGGGGGCAGATCCCCGGGGTGGCGGGGGGGGAGGAGCAGGCCGCGATGGGGGGGGGCAGATCCCCGGGGTGGCGGGGGGGGGAGGAGCAGGCCGCGATGGGGGGGGCAGATCCCCGGGGTGGCGGGGGGGAGGAGCAGGCCGCGATGGGGGGGGGGAGATCCCCGGGGTGGCGGGGGGGAGGAGCAGGCCGCGATGGGGGGGGAGATCCCCGGGGTGGCGGGGGGAGGAGCAGGCCGCGATGGGGGGGGGGCAGATCCCCGGGGTGGCGGGGGGGGGAGGAGCAGGCCGCGATGGGGGGGGCAGATCCCCGGGGTGGCGGGGGGGAGGAGCAGGCCGCGATGGGGGGGGGGAGGATCCCCACGTGCCCTGCGCAGCCCCTGCCCAAACGCAGCTCCGGCCAGCGCCAGTCTCCTCCTCCTCCAGGCAGCGGCAGCCGGGCGGGACCGACGCGCCAGCAGCTGCGCCTCCCTCCCCCACCCCCTCCGGGGAGAGCAGGCGGCCTCCTCCGCCGGGCGCCGCGGCCTCACCCCGCCGCCCGGAGCGGGGCCTGCCCCGACACACACCCCCCCCCCCGGCACCGCGGCCGCCTCCGCCGCCACCCCCCCCCGGGGCTCGGCCCGGCTCGGCTCGACCCCCGCGGCCGGATCGCTCCGCCGCCGCCCGCCGGGGAGACCCGGGGCCGTTCGGCCTGCGCGGCGCCCCGCTCCGGTCCCCCCCGCGGAGACTCGGGCCCTCCGCCCCGGAGGCTCGGGCCCCCGCGGCGCTCTCCCCGCCCGGTTACCGGGCCAGGCCGGCTCGGCTCCCCGCGCGGCGGGCTCGGGCGGACAATGGCTGGCTCCGCCCGCCGGCTCCGCGGCTCGCCCCGCTCCGGCCCGGGGCGCTCGGCGGCCGCCGACGCGGAGCCGCCTCCCGAGGCTCCAGGGCAGGAGGGGGCGGGCGGGGGCAGGACTCGCCGCGCCGGAGCCGCTAGGGGCGGAGGCGGGGGGCGCCGCCGCGGCGCTGGATGCCCGGCTGGGGGCGTCCGGGCAGCGCGTCCTCCCCGCACCGACCCCCGGGGAGCCCCGCTCCTCCGCCCAGCCCGGCCCGCCGGAGCCCCGCTCCTCCGCCCAGCCCGGCCCGGCGGGGGGCCGCAGCCCGGCGCCCGGCCGGCGGGGCGAGGAACCAGCCGGGGCACGCACCGGATGGCGGGCGGGCGGGCGGGCTGGCGGCGGCCGGGCGGAGACGGCGACCTCAGCGGCCCCGGCGCGGAACTCACCGCCCCGGGGAGACGAACGAACGAACGAACAAACAACCGCCCAGCCCTGGAAACCTGCCCCCGGCAGCCAGCCGCCCCGGGAGCCGCCCGACCGGGGCCGCCCGCGTCCCGCTCCAGCCCCTCGTGCGGTCCCCCCCCTTGCCCGCGGAGCGGCAGCGCACACGAGGCGGCGGGCTGGCGGGCTCCCCCTCCCCTACCGCCGCCGCGGGTGCTCCAGGGGGCCCCGGTTCCGCAGCAGCCCGCTTTCCACCCACCCCGCTTTGTAAGCCCCGATGCCCGGGCACGCCGAGGCTCATGCAGCCGCCGCTTCCTGCATATGGCGAGATCCCCGGGCCTCCCTCCTGCTTGCGGAGCGCGTGGAAAATCCGCCTCGATCTGCCCAGGCAGCCAGCACAAAAACCCCCCGCTTTACCCGACACGAAAAAAAAAAAATCCCCGAGGCCCTCCGCTGCCTCCTGCCCCGATCGCCTTCTCCTTACCGAGTCAGCCGGGCACCAGCCGAGTCTGCGACCGGGGGGGAGAAGCAGCAGCTGCAGCCAACCGCGCCACCGGAGCCTGTGGAGGAAACAAAGCGCCTCCTCCAGCCCCAGATGGCGAACCAGAGCGTCGGCTAATGGCGAGCTCCACATGAGCTCCTGCTGCAGCAAAGCAGCCCGGTGCAGCAAGCGTTGCCTCGGATCGTGCCTTCTCCCCCCTCCCCCTGATCCGTCTCTCCCACCCGCCCTCCCTTGCAACAGGGGGCTGCATCGGGCGCGTTTACTGCTGGAGGTCGTGGGTTGTGGGGTTGGGTTTTTTTCCCCCCCCTTCCAAAATGCACCTACCTGCAAATCAGCCAGGCTGAAGACGGAACTTGGGGGCTGCTTTTTTTGGGTGCTTTTAGCTGGGGAGCGCTGGTTGAATGCTAGCCAGCTCTGCAGCGCTGGCCCCGGGCGTGGACTCGCTCCAGTCCCCGCAGAGAGATTGCACTTCCCCCGCCTCCATCTCTCTGCTTTTTTCTTCCAATCAGCCGGGCTCTTTTCGCTCCTGGATCCTTAGCCAACCTCACAGCCCTTCACAAGTCTCCACTTTTCCATCTGCTCCCTAAACGGAATTGTCAGAGAGACCGTTCTCCTCTCCTCTTTTAACTCTCTCTTCTGGCTCTTACGGGGCTGCCTGTCTGTCTGTCTGTCTCTCTCACTCTCTCTGTGTGTGCGTGTTTATTGCTCTTTGCTTTTGCAACACTGTAGCCAAAAGAACAGAGGAGGAGGGAAAAGGGAGAGACAGGGAAAGAGAAGGGAGGGAAAAAAAAAAAACAGCTTACATTTGCAACAATCCTCTTCAGGCGTTTGCAACAAGAGCCCCAACAATTCAAATGGTCGATTTCCTCTACAACCCACCTCGAATAGCACGCAGAAAGAGGGCCTGGGTTGTTGGTTTGTTTTTTTTAAAAGTTCCAGCTCTGCCCAGAAATAAAATTCAGCTTTTCTCTGTACGGTTCCGGGGGCTGGGACAGACATTTGCACCAACGCAAAAGAAGGAAGCTGAACTAAACGGCAAGTGGCTGCGTTGTAAACAGGCTCACGGGGAAGAAGGAGACGGAGGAAGAAAATGGGGAGTTTTGTGGTGTGTCTCTTGCACCAGGAAATGCACAAACAGGTCTAGAGTGAAATTCACACTTTCCTCCCGGACTGGGTGAACCGCTGGATTTGTTAACGATACCGTGAAATTGACACTTGTATATTTCAGAGCCGAAGGGGGGCGGGTGAAGGGAGAGTTTTTCATTCCCCCCCCCCCGTCCTCAATTTTTTTTAATCTAATTTTTCCAACTCCACCTTTGTTGTTATGGGCGTCATCTGCTGCTAGCCAATCCCCTGTCTGGGATCTGCCTGTCAAATTAATGGCAATCCCAATAAGCAAGCGGCTCCTACAGACCAAAAAAAAAAAAAAATTGCAATTAAGTGTTATGAGCTCTCTTGGGGTGGGTGGACCTGCTCTTAGGCCCATAAACGTTAGACAAGGAGGAGGGTTCTACATGGTTTTGCTTTGGCTACCAATGCAGGGATTCCCACAACAGAATTTGCAATTGTTTTTCTGCCCTTTTGCATTAGATACGTTATACAGTATTGGAAAATCTAAAGGGGTTGTCAGACAGCACTGCTGAGTTTTGTTATCGCAGATTAATGTCCATTAGTTTTAACATGGTGGTGGTGAGGTGGTAGCTAGGGAAGAGTTAAAGTACATTGGTGTAAACCAGAGAGAAGGTAGGTGAGGTCATATCTTTTATTAGATCAACTTCTGTTGGCGGAAGATACAAGCTTTTGAGCTACACAGATCTCTTCAGGTCTGGGAAAGGAACCAAAATATAATAGTATATTTAGGCCTTGTCTACACTAAGGAATTTAGAATAAAAATCTTATCCTTGTTAACTGGTGGGGAAAAACCAAAATTCTACAATTCCTTGGTGTAAAATACTGCCATTGGTTTTCGGCATGGTTCACTTCCTGCTCTAAAACTGTCATGTTTTGTCACCGAGGTGTGTGAAACAGCTGCTGTGTTTCACCCAGAGGCTAGCTGCCTTTTAAAGTGATCATTTTGGGTGAAACCTTAAAACCGTCGGTCTTGTCTGTTCTGCATAGGATGGGCCAAAATTTTAAATGAGGTGAAGGCCCCTTTCTTGGTGGATGCAACTTGTGTACACACACATATGAACCTGCTTGTGTGTGCTGTTAGATGAAGAATGGCAGACGCACATCTTAATTGAGGCTAGAGCTGGGCTGGAGATGATCTTCCCATTCATGATTGGTTTAGAAGCTTTAAAAAAAATTCCATTCACAAATTGGGAAGAAGAGTCTAAATCTCAATTTTCATAAACCAATAATCCAAAAAAAATCACTTTAAACCTTTTTTAGTCTTTTAAAACTTTTTTAGGATTACTAACATTTCTAACTGAAAAATCATTTTGAAACAAAATGGAGCCTTTACATTTAGATGCTGTCGAAACAGAACGTTTTGTCAGTGTCTAAACTTTATTCAAAAATGTTTGGAATTGTGAAATTCACCAAAATCAACCCTGGCCCAGAGACAGCTTCGGTTCCCACAAACTGACATTTCACTGGAAAATTTCTGATATCTGACACCACAGTTCATTGTAGGCGTGAAAATGTGAGTGCGTGATGTGTGCTAGCAAAGGGATGGCAGACCACTGAAAATTTGGCCCTAAAAATGCTGTGAAACTTTAGTTAAAACAGAGGATTCCCCACAATATCCTTTGGCCAAAATTTCCCCTTCCACAATTTTGCTGCACGTTGCAATGAAGTTGACTAGGTGCACTCCACCCCAGAGGTGGCTGCATTTTAGTAGTGCTCTCTCTACCGATATAGAGCTAGATGTGCAAAGAAAGGTGCTACATGAATGTAAGATTCATTTTATTTCTTGAGTATTTTAAAAAAACTACCAGTTTTAAAAGCATTTTCACACTCATTTCAGCCATTATACTGGCAGGTGATAAATGTCGAGTCTGATTAAAGGTAAGGCAAAAACAGCACCATTTTCCATCGTAGACTACCAGGCCTGTAGTTAAATCAGCCAGATCCAGGGCCTTGATCCTGTACAGAACTTTAAGCATCATAGGGCTCCACCATGCAGAGCTCACTACAGGATCAGGATTTTTACTTTTGGTGTCCATAACTCCACTGCAACAGAATGGGCCAGGGTGAGGGAATCCAACTCAGAACCAAGAAACTCCACAGTGCTATTATCTTCTTTGTTGTTGCCTGTGGACAGCAGGGAACTAAACTACCAAAACTTAGTCTTTGCGTAGTGGGAAAGCGATTCTTACTACAGGGAGAAAAGGACCTCAGAGTATAGATTGGGGAATTATTTAATATTTGAACAGTGCTTTGAGAATGCAAAGTCCTATATAAGTACTGCAGTTACCGGGGAAACAAAGAGCTGAAATTACATGAGCAGAGATTGTGTATTGTGGCCCAGGACCCCACTGTGCTAGGCACTGTACAAACATAGAACAAAAAGATGCACCAAGAGAAAATCATGCAAACACTTATGTGTTTGCTTAAAATCTGTAACATGGTAAGAAAGTTTCGGAAGCTCATCGCCATGGGTCTCTTTTGATGATATAGGCCTAGTGTTCCTAGCCCATTTGATTAGTGTGGGTATTAGGGTAACTGTTCTCTGTGAAACGCGACTGCTTTTCTTAATTAAATGTGAGGGCAGCATGGCCTAGTGGGTAGTGCAGTGAACTAGGAGGCTACCTGGCTTCTATTTAGAACTGCCACTTTCCCTACTATGCGGCCTTGGGCATGTTATGTCCTTTTGCCTCTCTTTCCCCTTCCGCTCCTAGCCTGTCTTGTCTATTGAGACGGGAGCTCTTCGAAGCAGGTGTTGTCTCTGACTATGTGTTTATTTGGTGCACAGCCTCCCGGAGAGAAAACCTGGATTTGTGCTGGAAATGGCCCAACTTGATTATCATACACATTGTAAGGAGAGTGATCACTTTAGATAAGCTATTACCAGCAGGAGAGTGGGGTGGGGGGAGGTATTTTTTCATGCTTTGTGTGTATAAAAAGATCTTCTACACTTTCCACAGTATGCATCCGATGAAGTGAGCTGTAGCTCACGAAATTTTATGCTCAAATAAATTGGTTAGTCTCTAAGGGGCCACAAGTACTCCTTTTCCGTTTGTATACACTCAATAGTAGAACATAAGAACGGCCACGCTGGGTCAGACCAATGATCCCGCTAGCCCAGTGTCCTGTCTTCTGACAGTGGCCAATGCCAGGTGCTTAAGAGGGAAAGAACAGAACAGACAAACACTGAGTGATCCACCCCTGTGGTCCACTCCCAGCTGCTGGCAATCAGAGGTTAGGGACACTCAGACCATGGGGTTGCATGCCAGCCCACCCTGGCTAATAGCCATGACGGACCTATCCTCCATGACCTTATCTAGTTCTTTTTTGAACCCTGTTACAGTTTTGCCCTTCACAACATCCCCAGGCAATGAGTTCCACAGGTTCACTTTGTGTTGTGTGAAGAAATACTTCCTTTTGCTTGTTTTAAACCTCCTGCCTATTCATTTTATGGGGTGACACCTAAGTTCTTGTGCTATGTGAAGGAGTAAATAACACTTCCCTATTCACTTTCGCCACACCAGTCAATATTTTATAGACCTCTATCATATCCCTCCTTAGCCATCTCTTTTCCAAGCTGAAAAGTCCCAGTCTTATTAATCTCTCCTCATACGGAAGCCATTTTCATACCCCAATCATTTTTGTTACCCTTCACCGCACCTTTCCCAATTCTAATATATCCAATTCTAAGGGTTCCTATAAAAAGAACAGGAGGACTTGTGGCACCTTAGAGACTAACAAATTTATTTGAACATAAGCTTTCGCGAGCTACAGCTTACTTCATCGGATGATGAAGTAATGTAGGGTTCTTACATTACTCATATATTATATTACCCATGTATTGTACTGTTCCCCCACATTGTAAACAAAGGACTGCTCCTGCAATCAGATCCATGCTATTGGACCCCAGCACCCATGTGGCGTTCTGTTGACTTCTCGGGGGCTGCCTGTAGGCCCCAGGCACCGCCCATTTGGGTCCATTTGTAGGATCAGGGCCAAAATTTGGCCAGAACTACCATCCAAGGCACCAGTTCTGCAACCATGTATGCACATGGCTAACTTTATTTATGTGAGCTGTTCCACGGGGTTCACTGGCACTGTTCATGTGTGTAAATTTACTCCTATGCGTATGTGTTTGCATGTTGGAGGCCTCTGGGTTCAAAACACTACTCACCTAACGTCGCCCTATTTCAGTCTTTGGGGAAACAGCTCGTTAAACGTCACATCGGGGCCAACTTCAGCATTGTTTTATGGCAACCCCCAACTCCTTGGATTTCAGCTCTGTGTTTCATTGAACATTAGACCAGCCACACTGAGTCAGCCCAAAGGTCCATCTAGCCCAGTGTCCTGTCTTCCAACAGTGGCCGATGCCAGGTGCTTCAGAGGGAATGAACAGAACAGGTCATCACCAAGTGATCCGTAGTGATTGAGTATCAGCAGAGGTCATGCCAGTGAGTACAAAATCAATACTGTATATGTTTTATGGCCTGATTTCCCTTTGCCCTTTAAATTCCGCTGCGAGCACCACAAATCTGGGCCCTGCGTAGTTGTTACATTTTGCATTGTTTGCTTTCCGTTTGGTTCGATGCCATAACACTGCTAGAGCAGAGAGATGCCTACAGTTTGCCCAGCTGTGGGTACATCAGTAGCTCCTCAAATCCAAAGCATAAACCAGGGCAGGCTGCAGTCACCCTGCTATTTAATGTGAGAGCGTTTGGTGCAAGATGGAGCAGCATATGCTTGGAATGGAGGCCTATAGTCACAGCAACAAAGGTCACACAGCGGTTTATCCTGTGACATTACATCGCAGTGACTTGATCGCTTCCCTTTATACTCGAGGGAACCCCCTAAAGCTGGACAGATTGCTGGGTGGCGAGGCCCCAATTTACAGATGAAATTTAAAAAAATCTGAAGCGAGTGGATTTATAAAAACATACCACGTCTCAAATCCGCTGCCTGTTTGTGAACAAGCTGCTTTCTGACTGAGTGAAGCAGGGGAATGAACTGATTTTCCAAGCCATTCAGAGAGCGGCTTGATTCTACAACAAATGAAGCAAGCACTCTGGCTCACTACGGAACCAGTGG